GGTCTACTGATGACGAGGAGGAGGAATCAACAGTCCTTCAAAAGGAGGCTCCTACACCTCAAATCCCGGACATCCCCATGGTGATCTCAGTGCCACCTCAGCACTCTCTACCGTCCGATGATGATTCACGTGATCCTATACCAAGTGACGATGATAGCAGTACTCCTGTACTGCCACCTCTGGACAAAATCAGCCATGAACCTCCTACGTCCTCTCGTCCAAGGCGCGAGCGCAATCTCCCTAACCGTTATAAGGACTATATTATGTACAATTGAACTGGGTAGATTTCTGATTTTGAGTTAAAGTACTAGTGTTTTGTATTTATGCCTATGTACATACTTGGTCAGATAACCAAGCCAGCAGAGGTGTGTAGCTATCTCCTCGCAACAAGACTATTCGAACTGTGGGATATGCTCCTTTTTTTTTATAGAGAAAAGTGGTAGCGCCACTACTGAGTATGTTTCCGGATCTACTGCCCGGTACCGGATTCTAGATCATATCAGTTTAGTGTGTCTCATCGTTTTCCGGTTGGGGCCCCCAGTAAAGCCGTGTGTCAGCAAAAGTGTGTTTGTGGTTTTTGTCTCTTACTGGCGGTGGAGCTTATTTCCACATGACCGCACACTGTGACCCATTTTCTGGTTAGAATGTGTCGGCAGCTTTATTGTAAATAAAGTGCCATTCAAATTGTTTATGGGCTCGCAGTGAGTATTAATTGTTGTTAATTGTTAATTGTTGTTAATTGTTGTTAATTGTTGTTAATCAACATTGATGAAGTTTGTTTCTTTATTTGAACAAAGTGTTTTTACAGTCAATCACATTTTAATGCCATAAAGTTAAATAGAAGTAATTATGACCGAGCGTAAGCTGCTCATTTAGAACGATGTTTACCGTAGCACTGCGTGTAATATGTATCAAATAATTAAAGAATATATGATAGACTTTTGAATCTTAAGAAACTTCGAGGTAGGAGATATTTTTATGTAGGATTTTCGTTGTTGGGACCTATGTTTCACTTCAGGATATCCGAGTTTTTCGAGTTTTCGAGTTCGAATTATCAGAGTTTTTATTACTAAGATTAACAAGAGTTTTGGCCGGGACCGATGAAATACTTCGAGTTAAACGGGGTCTTCGAGTTATACGAGTTCGAGATAACGAGGTTCGACTGTATATATACCGATTATGATTGATATGTAGTTACAGAACGAAAATATGTATATGAAACAATTGTAATGTTCATGTTATCGCAGTAAAATGTGATTAGGAAAATAAGTTGAATAAAAAAAAAAAAAAAAAAATATTGGGAAATTTGGGATCAAATATTCAATCTCATATATATGGCTCGAAATTCTTATACTTCTATAATTTCCGAGGTTTATTTTTACTTCATATTAAACAAGCAAATAGATGTATTCTAAATGAGATTAATATGACGATTAAAAAACGTGCAAATAGTCTTTATCAGCATGCATGTCTCGAAGTCAGCAGTCGTCATCAGTAACAAAAATCATGACATACGAAGCAAAGTCGTGAATACAAATTCAACTGCGACATTTTGCGACACAAAATAGTGATGGATAATCTTCTCGTTATCGTACAGCTTAGTGGTAGGCCGTGCCTGTAGTCAGGACATAAGATCGAGGGAGGCGGCTGGTGTAGGACAGTCTGTAGCATCCTTGGTTTTTAACCTCAGGAAGGTATTTACGATTGACATGGTAATTTAAAGACTGCACACATTTGACTAAATGATCATTTGGCATGATTTAAGCGAGAAACGGGAATACTGGTTTGAGCACAGAATCCATTCTGGAGCATGAGAACGGTTTCGTGAATACGGGCCTTGGTGTAACGCGGATGCTAATCCTATCTAGTTCCAAGTGTTTATGATTTTGATATATGTTTATTTTTCATATTCCATTAGTGAAACAAATGTTCTGTGATCAGATATCGTCTGTATAGCTTGGATACATCGAACAGTGTGTAATCAGTACAAGGCAGGATAAGCATAAGCAGGTTAAGGTCACTGACATAATGAGGTCAAGTAAATAACAGCACAACGTGATAACGCACCATGTACATGTAGGGACAAGACCGCAAGGAACAGCGTACAAGGCGTTGGCATAAACAGTGCAGACGACAGTTGAATCGAGCAGATGACGACGTTTACCGGTATGGAAGATCTTGAACACTTAACTCAACGCAGCAATAAGAACGATGTGGGACCATTTCGTACGTACGTACGACCTGTACTGGCTGAGTTTATAGGTACGACACTGTTCGTATTCATTGGCGTGCTGTCCGTACAGTCTGGTAATCTGGCCTCAATAGGACTGGCGCATGGACTGACCATCGCGCTCCTCATCATGGGCCTCGGCAAAATCAGGTCAGTTGATTTATGTAATTCGCTTCAATGTACACACTCTAAAGATGGCTTTTTCGGTATAAATAGCCCGTGGCTCCCAGCAATATCCAGTAAAACTATTATTCCTCTGTTTTGAAATAGTTATGCAATTGTTTCTATGGAATTTTACATGCGTTTGTCTTGATAAGTAAGGGGCTCGTAAATTGGACAAATATCTTTTTTATTTGCACTGTCGTTATTACTTTTTGTTTGATTTGGTTTGGTTAAGTATTGTTAAACGTATTACCCTTTGTTTATATATATAAGTAGTATCGTCTCCATGAATTTCTCATCTTAGATAAAGGCGCACAATAACTTTGTTTATCTCGCGAAGCGCCTCCTGGTGACATTGACGGTAAGTTCTCCAAAAAAAATGTACATACAATTACAAGTTCTGTGAATCTAGAGGTGTTTGCGCAAGCTATCGGTTTGTTGACGTCCATCTAACACTGTAAACGAGGAATATTACGCGCGGGGTAGTGAACGCTTATTACGCGGAGCTGGATCGACAAATACAACACGGATACCCTTAGTTTTCAAGATACTGAGGACTTTTTCTGAACGATGTGTTTTAAAACATCAAATATAGCGAGGGCATTCTGGTTATGCAGCGCAATCGGGAAGCACTCTCTTATATTTTCAACATACGGGAGTATACCATCAATGAATGACATTTTTCAGAGTTTTGATGTAAATCCGAGAAAGGTCTAAAATGTTCGCTACACATAAATATTGGTCCACACCAACATACTGTTATTGATGGTATTCCATTGTTTACATCTGAATAAAATTATCAATGTCAAAGACATTTCTCATTCTGATCTAGGAATAACTTCTTTCAATTCACAAGACATGTACCTGGATAGACAGCTAGATCACAAACTGAAAATTCAACACGTTCGTCCTTTGTTTTCCTCGGTACTGACCGTGTGAGGAAACGTTCGTATTATATGCCCACAGAACGTTAATATAACCACGGAATTAGAATAGAGGGAAAGGCAACTGCCTCTTCGGCATAGGAAATATGTGCCGTGCACTTGATGTTGCGAGAAACTACGAGAAAGCGTGAGAATTTACGTGATTCGGGGAAAAAACCCGCCGCTTCAAACATCGAAGAAATTGATTGCCGTTCAGAAGTAACATATTTTGGGCTATCTCTACCGTTACATTGTCCGGATTTCAAAGTAAGTGATCTTTGCTAAACTTATGTTTAAATATGATTATGTTTGTTTGGTCGAATACCAGAGAAATGTCGCAGAATGCGAAAGTTTATAGTAAACATACAGCGTTGCCAACTTGAATTATTTTATGGCTTCACACCCGCCATCGAGATCTACTTTACTTGCTAATAAATAGATTATTTTGACATACGGACTAAACCAAATTGTTTATTTATATGTTTTCTATTGCTTCGGGTGTTTTTTAAGTGAACCCATATCTCTGATTTTGTAGTATTTGTATTTTGAAATCAGTTGCTAATCAGTGTATTTTAATAATGGCCGCCATTTTGCCTTAGATTACTGATCGCGGGTGGGTTCATGAATGCATGTAATTCTCGGTAATTGATCATAACTATGTAATAATTTGTTTACA